GATACAAGTGGTGTAGCCGAATTCTCACCCCAGGTAGAGATAGCCACAAGTATTGGATGTATGATCTAACTCGCCATTCATGGTGATGAACCAAGGAAGAAAACGAAACGAGAAGCGTAGCAGAGCCCTTCAAAAGAAGAGCTCTAATACCATAACAAAAGTAAACAATAGTGGAAGAAAGCAAAACTGCTCAAAATGATCAACAAAGGCTCTGCATATTATTACATATGAACTTTGTTATATATACAAGGTAATTACAGAAAAAGATAGTAACAGAAAATTAACAACCATGAAACTGACAGCTGAACAAACTAATTAACTAATAGATATTGGTTGAGAGTTGTTAGTAAAATAGTTCAGAGAAGGAGTATCTAAACTCACCAAAGCTACAAGGCCCTTTGTTTCAGCAACAGATTCACCTGTCTTCAGAATAGCATTCTTTGCAGAAATGGGTTCATAAAGAACAACTCCAAAAGCATATACATCTACGTTTGGAGAAAAGTCACCATATTTGGCATATCTGAGAAAAAAAATCCAAATAATCAATAAAAGAAGTTCTGTGTATACTAAATCAAACTTCAAGGGCTTGTTTTCAGATATTGAGAAGTTTAAGATAAGATCACTAATCCCTGGACAAACAAACCCAGTAATATCCTTTCAAAAATTACAAGAAATAATTAGTGAACTCATTAACAATCTTATATCACTTCACAGTTTAACTTCAGTTTAAAGAACAAAGGGACCAGGAGAAACTCTGGTTCACTCTGATATGTTCTGAAAACTGAATTTGATTTTTTACTACTTAATTATTGAATATTTGATTGTTATGATCTGTTTGTCAATAAGAAAAGCTGATGATTCATTAATAATAAATTAATAAGATGGCTACTATAACACAACACTGAGTACACATGTTAATTCCAACAAAACCCAAATTTCATACAAAGAGTATGGTATCATTTAACACAACATAAAAAATATACTCTGGTGTCATGTGTCCAAATGTTCCCACAAGACGAGTGTGCAGCATGGAACCTCCAACTTAAATAAGTTTGGTCAACCCAAAATCTGCAACCTGTAATTAAAATCTTACATGGTTTAATTAGTCTCAGAATAAATGGAATATCAGGATTTGGAATGAGGATCATGAAGAGTGGTAACAATGCAACCTTTCCACAAAAGTTTTTGTCTATCAGTATATTTGCAGATTTTACATCACAGTGGATATACACAGGCACAGTGTGCTCATGAATATATTCAAGGCCTTTTGCGGAATCTAGCACAATTTGCACTCAGACTAGACCATGGCAAAGTATCTTTCCCTGGAATCATGTTATCATCATATTATTGATTGTTTGAAAAAAGGTAACATCATAGGAATTAGGAAAAGATAAAAAAAAAAAAATGTATGCTGATCTCACCTGTACCGTGCAAATATTGGCCCAAGTTTCCGTTGTCAATATATTCATATACAAGGAAAAGAGATCCCTCAACACAATATCCAATCAAATGCACCTGTGTTGTTGTTAATAAAAGTTTTAGTTATATAAATATAGAAGAAGATTTATAACTGGCATGGAACTGTTTATGACAAAAAAAATAAACCTGATTGACACTCAAACAACCATAGAAGATAAAGATTTCACAAGTTTCTTTCACGTAAATAATGCTGATCTCATGTTAATTTGTAGGATCTGCTGCATAAATAGCTTTGCTGAATAATTAAAGACTGTTTTGTAATTCTGGTCGCAAAAACACCCTGGAAAATTGTTTCTTAACAACCTTATTGTTATTCAAACTATACAGAAAATGATTAAATTTAACTATCCTTCATGAATGTAATCATGTATACATGCTTGAAGTTGTTTGAAGGATGTTGTACCAGATTCAAGTGATGAACGTGAGTTAAGACCTTCAATTCACAAAGAAATTCGGTTGATGCTTGTACGTCCATCTTCTTAATTGCTGTTTTCTGCATAGAAATGAATTATATGAGAGGAATTCAGGAATAGAGTATAAAAAATAAATGGATAACCTGAAGTGGCACAAAACAAAGATTACAGAAACTTGCCTATCCACCCTTAAGAACATTATCCACTAATATGTAAACAATATTACATATATCTCTTGGTTCATTGAAACTACTTAGTACCTTGATTCTCAATGTTACATATATCCCATACACAAAACAATGAACTTAAAGCCTTACAATTTAAACATACCTTGTAAAATACCAATAACATGGGAAAGTTGTGTGCGCACTAATAACATCACACAAGTAAAAGTAAAAACCTTTTATCCTCTATTTTTGTTTCCCTTCTTTCCTTTAATAATATTTTGTCTGATTATGGCTATAAAACTGAATATAACTTCATACCTCGCCTCTCAATTCTGCATAATAAACAGCTCCAAATCCACCTCGGCCAATTTTATTCTCCAAGCTGAAGTTATTTGTAGCCTTGGCTAGTTCTTGAACTCCATTGATTTTGCCACCATAATGCCTGGGAGGCCAGTAGCACTAGCAATAGTAGGTCCACTGGATCCTGAAGTTTCATATTCTGAACTTCAAGAGGCTTTAATCGAAAGAGGAAGATAAATCAGTATGTGTTATCATGTTCATTAATCTAGTACATGTCAAATTCTAGGAATGTGCCAGAGTTGATGGCATGTAAACTTTGAAAATGTTGATAAATAGCAGACAGTTGTTTTAGGGATACAAGATTAAGAGGAGAACGTGCTAAAGAAAATAATGGTGACTATTCTACCTCTTAAACAAGGTAAATCGGCCTAAAATTGGATCTGATAATTAGTTTATACATGATAAACTGTGGAAGAAAAAAACAAAATGGTATAACAATAGTTTGAACACAAGAAAATTCAGTGTACTAAGTACTAAATTCACCTATTTCTAGGAATGTGATATAATTAATTTAGAAGGAATATGTTCTATGAATGCAAGAATTACCAGTACCATCTTGAGTTGAAAACGCCATAGAACTTTCTGTTGGCAATTTAGCTTTCTCACCTTTCTTCTAGAAGTATTTAACATATATGCAAACTACTAATAACAGAAGCCCGCATATTTCTGCTACAGATATTCCAACAGCAGCACACCAGCACCCTTAGCTTGGTCTGCTTACACAGAAGCAAATTTAAGCTCTAAGGCACTATTTTTTTTTTTTCTGTGTATATTTATGTGAACATCAAGCTGAAAATAATCTTCATATAGCCAACTCTGTTAAGTTAGGAAGCCAAACCTGCTTTTCTTCAAGAAGGAAAAGAAAATGTAACTTAAAAAGGTAGAACCAAACATGTTGAAATATTCAATTCTATGTGCATAATTCAGAATGAAAGGTGAGACGAGTTACCCAATACCCACCTACGGTACAATGGAACATAGTCTCCATTTTGATCGGGCATGTTACATAAAATTAAAACTTTAGGCAAATTCATAAAAAGTTATCCCAAATACTTTGAAGAAAAATAAATGCATTGTTTTAGCTTTTAACCCTTGAAATGTTGATTAGTGATTCTGGTATTGTTCTCTTATTAGATTTTGAAGTTTTCTTTTGGTAATTCTGTTCTAAAGGTTGGCATGGCATACCAAAATGAAACTTCAATTTTGACTAAAGAACAACACCAAAATCAGTTAAAGAATTGTATTTAAGTTTTATCCATGTTGTGATGGGTAAAAGAGATCATACCTCTTCCCGGAATGAAAACAATTCCACTCTCTTTGCTGAAATTGACACCATGATTGTATCTCTCCAGCAACTGTGCATCAAGATGAACCTCGTTGGCAATATCATGCAAATTATTCCCAGGCATGAGTGGATAGGTAATAAACAACCCATAATCTTTTGAAAGCAGGCTGTTCCCATAAGAACACTTGACAGTCACATTAATCTATGCATTTTCAGGTATATTGTGGCCATAACTGTTGAACCTCCTCAAAAGCTCAACAATGGTGAGATTTACATGTCACTTTGGCAATCGAATCATAGGTATCAGCTGCAGCAGCTGAGTACTCAAAAACATGCCCCAGAAATTCTTCATGAATACAGCACAAGGGAATGGAATACTGAGTCTATCAAAGGATGGCACATTATCATTGAGTATTTTGTCTTTATTATAGCTGGTTATAATGTCAGAATTTGACAGAACGCTTGATCCCATCAAGTACGTTATGTTTTCTGAGGATAAATATCAGCTAAAGCTACATCACATTCCTTCACACACTTGGATTCCACATTGCAAAAAACACACTTCAGCAACAACAAAAACAGTAACCCTTTTTTGAGTTCCATTGGATAAGAGAGGAACATATACAAACCCAAATCAGAAAACTGAATTGCTAAGACTTCATATACCAGGTTTGATCATATGAGAAAACAAAATGCAGTTCTTTTTCTCTTGAAACCAATGTCACATAATATAGAATTTTGTGTGAAAAGTTACACTAGTACAAAAGCATAGTGGTGTAACTTAAGTGAAAGTGTGTAAACATAAACTATAAAACTACTAATTTCATACGCACACGATTATGCTTTTTTCTGAACAAACACTTGATAGGTTATAACTTAAAAAAGGGTCAAATGTTCTTGGTAGAAAAGTAAAGTAACACTGCACAACATATGGGTTGATACATCATAAGGCGTCAACTAAAAGTTGCCACTTGCCAATGAAACAGCTAATGAAAGTACTACTATAGTCATGTTTCTGGTTATCAATCAAAGACTTCATATAATGAAGTATCACAAATTAATCTAGATACAACCTAGTCATCGAGAGACAGTCTTGATCAACCAAATACAGAAAATACAGTAAGCCACCAAGTCTTGTGCATCTGTGTAATCAATTTATAAATAGCCTTCTTGGTCTGTGGGTGTGTGTGTGCATGTCAGAAGAGGGAAGACATTGATTCTTATCCAACCCAACCCCATATAATCATGAGAAAGAAAAAAGAATGTTGATGACAACATTATACAAAAGAAAGGATATAAAATATGGTCAACTTAATTCAATATCATAAAAGAACATAAAGGGCCAACAAAAGACATCAAACACATGGACAATCACTTCTCAGATTTTCTCCTCTCGATTGTTTTTTAATTAAGATTTCAACTTCCTAACAAAATGGTATCCTAATCAAAAAAGTTACAACTACCAGGCCTCTCACATCACCTCAAAAAGGAGAAAACAATGTTTACGCCAACGCAGTAATGCTCTCAGCCTCCACAGCCTCGTTCTCCAACTCCTTGACAGCTCTAATCAAACCCCTCGTGATGCCCTTGAGAAGCAAACCATTCTCTTTCATTTCCTCATGTAGCTTTTCTGCCCTTTCCCAATCCAAACCCTTCAAGCATAGAGACTGTATCAACTTGTCGTACTCATCAACACTGGGGCGGACACCAAAATCTTTCATCTCAGCCAATAACTTCAAAGCCTCGTCAAACTGTTCCAACTTGCAATATCCACGAATCAACGTGTGAAACATCACAGGACCCAACTTAACATGCTTCTTTTTTGCTTCTGCCAATATCTTCCGAGCCTCTTCCATCTCCCCACCATTTGAATAAGCACTAGCAAGAACGGTATAAGTGTACACATCCGGTCTCAAGCCCCTACTTTCCATCAGCCTCATCATCTCCACAGCTTGCCCCATTTCCCCAGCCTTCGTATACCCCGTAACAACAAAATTGAAAACAGCATTCCCAGGTGGCGGCCCGTCCTTAATCATCCTCAACACCAACTCCTTGGCTTTATCAACTTCCTTAATCCTACACAATGCCCGAACAACCGCCAAAAAAGGCTTTATCGCACGCTCCCTCTTCTCCTCAGGGATATCCTCCAACATCTCCAAAGCCAATTTCACAGTTTCATCCTCTCCACAGAGCTTGGCAACCAAAAAGCTAACCACATTCATCGGTGGCCGTTTCCCTTTCTCCATTGCCACTACATAAACCCCATGGGCCTCTTTAGCCTTCTTCCCTTTACACAACCAAGACAATACAGCACCAACTTTCTCACCATCAGGCAATGTCCCCGCCTCCAACATCTTCTCACAAACACCACAAGCCCAATCAAAAGCATGCCGCCGACAAAGCGCTTCAATCGTATAGTAATACGTGTCTGCATCCGGCACACATTGAAAGCCCTCAAATTTATCAAACACCTCCAATGCAGCCTTCCCTTTCCCCAATCTCGAGAGCGAAAGTATCAACACATTCAGAATCCTCACATTGAGGATTCCACTCTCCTTCTCTCCAATCTCCTTGACCAAGTCCCACATAGAGTACACCACTTTCTTCCTCACATCATTTCCACATATGGCCAAAATAAGAGACTCCACCATTGGGGTGGTCACCTCCAATGATCTCTCACTCCATGCCCATTTGAAAAACCTGATCAGATTCTCACCCAACACAAACGGGGTTTCGATTACTTTTTCTACCAATTGCTGGTGCAGAGTCAAATCCAAGTCATCCAAACACGACTCAAACGACCCGTCAGCATCTGTTTGGAGAAAACGCACCAAGCTCTCCAACTTGTCGGAATCAACCTCGTACGTGTCTCCTTCTTCCGCGGGCTGTTCGTCGGCGCCGCCGTTTTCGAAAGCTTCCGGGGGGAGCACATTGTGGAGGGTGAGTGTGGAATCGGTGGAGAAAAATCGGGGGTTCTTGAGGTTTTGGGGGAATGCTGATTTGGGGATTTTGAGTAAATTAGGGTTGGAGATGCGATGGTGAATTGGTGAGTGGTTGCTGGTGGCAGCAACAGCACGTGTGGCTCGTGCGAGTATCCGCCTCCACATTCTTCTTCTTCTTCTAAGAAATTGTGATGTTTCCGCTTTCTTCTTCTCTGTAACCTAAAGTAGCGCTCACTCCCTCACTTAACGAGTATACCGATGATATAAGAAAATAACACCATTATTTAATTACAAACAACTTATATACTCAACTTATTAACTTTTATAATAATTATTTTATAAATAATATCAATTATATTTTTATTAGTAGTGTAAATTCAGTAGTGTGTATAGTACGAGGTTTTTAAACTCTATAAAAACAATTATCCACCGATTTCTCACTTCGACCAAGGAAATGAGTTAGTTAAGTAAATAATAAGCCGAATGGGTTATTTAAGTAATAAAAAAATAGTATATTTTAAAAAAAAAGTCTTTTCCTTAGAGCTGTCAAAGTGGGCCGGGACCCGTGGGCCAACCCGGCCCACCTTGAAAACGGGCCGGGCCGGGCCAAAAAAAATTGAAGTTTTATAGTAGGTGGGTATATTTCAACCCGGCCCACTTTGACCCGGCCCACCCGGGCTAAACCCGTGGTGGGCCGGGTGGCCCACCAACCCACCATTTTTTTTTTCAATAAAAATTTGAATATGATTTGTAGTTTATTTTGTATGATGATATATTGAAAATTTTTATTTTAAACTTTTATCATGATTTGTATTTAATTTTGTATGATGAATTATGACTTATAACTATTAATGATGTTAATTTTATGACTATTATGTTAATTTATAATTAATTTAAAATTTTGAATTTTGTTAATAATTTTTTTTTAATTTTTGGTGGGCTGGTGGGCTGGCCCGTATAACCCACCAACCCGTGGTGGGCCGGGCCGGGCCAAATTTTTTTTGAAAAAATTACAAGTGGGCCGGGTTGGGTTGGCTCGTTTTTAAAGTGGGTCAAGGTGGGCCGGCCCACATGGGCCGGGTTGGCCCGTTTTGACAGCTCTACTTTTCCTTTAATGGAACGACAAATCCTAGCATCATAGTGATGATACAAATTAGGGCATTGAGTTACCTAGCTTTTGGGCTTTTAAGTTTGGACTAGACCACATCTATCCCAACATCAGATTAAATATTATTAGGCTAATAATATACACACCTCCATTTTTTTTATAAATATACTTTCTTTTTTTAAAAATAAATATTAAATTCTTAAATTACTCTTAATATTTTTTCTAACTTTTAATTTTTCAGATTTACACCTCCATTCTTCTTTCTTTTCTTTTTTGTACACTCCATTTCTTCTCTGTCACTTTCTTCTCCGCACCTCCCTACCTTCCTTTCTACCCTTTTCAATTTTTGCATTATCCTTTTTCCTTTTTGGTTTTGTTATAAGTTGTAAGTAGGTTCAGTGTCAAAGGGAAAGGTGTTAGACCATATGCATCTTTTCCTCCAAGTAATTCTTTTCATTATCTCTACCTTCCTCTACATTCTTTTGTTCTTGTTATTTCTAACTTACTATCGCCTTTAGCTCACTCTTTCTTTGTTTTGTCGATATTTCTCTCTCATCTCTACATTTCTTTTTAGGATTATTGTTAGGGTTTATGTTTGAAATTGATTGATCAACTATCTTTGTATTTTGAAATTGATCGATCATCTATCGTTATGTTAAGTTATGGTACGAATAAGAGGTGGTAGCGTTGCACGAAAGGGTCAATGACTAATAAAAGATAAGCAACATATGAAGGCTCAAGCAGCTGTAGTTGATGAACACGAGGAGCTTGAAGAGGTCATGGTAGATGGTGTTGTGAACCCTCAGGTAACAAAGTCCTTTCTAAGAGGCCTTGAGGATTTGTCAGTCCTTAGGAATTTTTCAGACCATTTTGCAACCCGTTTATGGAGTGGTGAGGTAATTAACGTTGTTGGATTTTTTAAATTTAATTTTTAATAAAATTTTATAATGACAAGATCATAAAACATCAGGATTATGGTGAGCTTAAGATTGTCAATCATGGAAGAAAAGTAAAAAGTTTTGTTATCAAGCACCACCAAATACAAATAATGGTGGATAAGTTTGGCTTGGCATCACTTCTACTTTGCAACTTCCAGATGGTTGATAAAGGTCTTGTGTTTTGTATTTGTTGAGTGATGGCAACCAAAAACAAGCTCATTCAACTTGCCAATAGGAGAAATGACCATCACTCATGATGATATGTCATGCTTATTACACCTACCAATTAGAGGTGCATTTTTCAGTCAGCCAGTCATGGACCATGACATTGCGTGTGTATACTTAAAGGATTTGTTAGTTGTCTCACACAAGGATGCAATCCTTGAGCTAAGGGCTACAAGAGGTGCTCATGTTCGCATGAGTTGGTTGAGAGATTTTTATGATGTGAGGTGCCAAGAGAAGCGTTGGGAATTTTCTATAGGGGCTTTTCTTCTATTCTTGGTTGGTTGCACGATCTTTGTTGACAATAGTGCAACATATGTGGATTTAGCATTCTTGGACCTATTTTGTGACCTTTCAGCTTGTAGCGATTATACATGGGGTGTAACTACCTTGACATTCTTGTATGAGTACTTGGGTGATGCTTGTGTCCATAGCACTAAATAGATAGGTGGCTACATGACCCTTTTATAGGTGAAAACTTTTCATACTATTTTATGCTTAACGTAAAAATTTTGTATTGCTTTGGACCTTATCTAATCTAATTTGGGTTATTAATTTTGAAACAAGCATGGGTATTTGAGCACTTTCCTCGGATTGGTTCCCATCAATTGTCCATGGAATACATGGAGCAAAATCCTTGTGCTAGTTGTTGGTCATATAGCAATAGTATAGGCCACATGCTTTCGTATAGGAGGGAACTAGATGCAATCATCGTCAATGAAGTTTGTTGGATGCCTTATAGTCATCATAGAGATTATCAACCATTTGAAGATATAACACTATATTCAGGGTGGCTTAGGTGGGGTACCTACAAGCAAGCAACTTGCTTGAGCGGGTATTACGTTAATATGGACATGTTCAACACATCTCGAGATCACCTCAACATGTTACTAGTGTGGTGATTTCTCCTAAGGAGATTGATGATAGATGGTTACATTATGCAAATTATGTGGTGGATGTCGTTGCTAGAGGCCATCAATTGGAGCATTCAACAGATTTTGGAGATGGATACATGCAATGGTTATCTCGAATTTCTCACCCATTGATTATTCCACCATAGGAGAGAGGGACTTCTAAGGTACCTCAAGTGCAACCTGCTACGATTTCTCACCACCCAAGTATTAGTGGCCTTCATTTTGTGGGGTAAGATTATGTCATTCATTTAAATAAATTTGTATGTTTGCATTTCAAAATGAACTAGATAATTCTAACTTTATTGTTATGTGTAGGAGACGTGCAAGAGTTGTATGAAGATTTATGATATTTTGCAAATGATATTTGATAGAAGGTTGGCAATAAAAGGCACTGGAATTTGGGATATAACTAGACAAGCATTGATCATGGCACGTGTTGGGAGTGGGGAGAAATTCACACATCAAAAGGGAAGAAAATGTTGAATTTACCATATAGTGGTGATAGTTTGTTTTGGTCTCTTTTTTCTTTTTGTTAACATATTTTGGTCTTTTACTATAAGAGACTTTTTTTTTTCTTTTTGAGATATCTAGTTTAACCAATGCTAACAAAGAAACAACTTATATTAGTGAAACAAATCATATTAGTCATATATTCTTACGTTTTTCTCTCATGTAGCGACATTTCCTTTACGTTTTGGCTTCCCTGCTGGTTCTTTGTTCTAGACCATTTTTATTCACGTTTTTCTTGCTCTAAACGTTTTTCTTTTCTTCTTCTCCTCTTATATTCATTTTGTATCTGAACTGAACTATTGCATTGAAGAAATACAGATTGTCCATTTTCGTTTTGTTCTCCTTCCTTGCATTTTCTGTTTCCATTTT